TTCATGAATTCTGCTACTCATAAAGTTATTTTTCCTTTTATTTCCTTTGTTTTGTTGTAATTTTAGTGACATTAAAGTTCTCAAAGCAAGACTTATTTAAATCTAAGCTTGCTTATATTTGAACAACTGCAGTCTGAACTTGAAGAAAACAAGGCAAGTTTAGCAAAATTATCTAAGCATAACAACCTAGAATGTTACAAAACAAACACTTAATGTGTGTAAACTAGCTTAAAATAATGTACTTGTATTTCACAAATATTCTGATGAAAGCTTTTCTTTTCTATTGTGGCTTAAAAAAAAAAATCAACTTACAGGAGGCATTTATTTTCTGAAAAGGCTAAGATCATCTCAGAGATAGAACTGAAGATACAAGGCTTGAAGTAGAAAATAACAACAACAAAAAAAAAACACATCTAGTGACCCAGAACTACACTATTAAGAGCTAGGAGATATGTTGCTATTTTAAACATGTGAATTATTTACCTGATAGATTTATTTGTAATATAAATGATACCATGCCAGTTAAGTACTCAGCATTTCAGTATCTCATAATCTTGTTGTACTTACATGGAGTAAGTATCCATTACTACTTGGAACACATTTAGCTTGCTCAACTGACTGCTTAATGAAGTCTGGGAAGTAAAAGCCTTATCTGTGAAGAGCCAATGCAGAATGAAGCATGTATGCACACTTGTTTTCAAAGCAGAGAAAAGTATTTGTTCAGTCTTAATGTGAAAATGAATTAAATTAAGCAGAGCATTCAGAAAAGTAGAAATAAAATACATGTACATCTTGTTTTCTAATAAATGTTTTCCATTTGTTGAATGTTGTGTTTTTAGAGTCTTTTTTTTTTTTTTTTTTTTTAAATAAATACCATTATGCTTATGCCTTCAAAATCTCTTTTGGAAGCTGTGCATTCTCCCTCACTCCCACCAAACAAGTTCTTTAGGAATTCCACACACAAACAGGTCTAATGCAGCTTCCTTTAATAGCTTTTCTGGAGTGTTTATGATGAGTCAGACTTGTCTGTGTTTCAGCCTCAGAAATATAAAACAGGACATGATTAGCTGCATTCACTCATGTTTTAATTGACATACTAGTCATCACTCAGTGTTTGAAGGGTACTGACAGTACCTCCTTTTCACTCTACTCATTTGTAGTTACATGCAAGACTCGCAAAGCAAACCTGTTATTTTTAACAATTGCTATACCGCTGCTGCCAAATACAAGTTAAAACAATACCCTTTACTTCAAAGATGCACAAATCAGATCAGATAGAAATCTGAAATTGCCTTTTAAATCACAGTGTCTTACCATGCGTAGTGGGTAAGTGAACGCGTACATCAGAGTCAGAGGCTCTCAACCACTGGTATTCAGTATCTAACACATTTCAAACTGAAATGTAGGCATGGCACAAAGTTGGTTAACTGACTGCAGAAACCTGTGTTTCTTCTAACAGAAGCATTCCGTGAACTTATACTTGTCAGACAACTGAAATACAGTGTTTTAAGTAGAGCATTTCTACAAAGCAGTCACTTTAATGTTTTAAAATAAAGCTGATGCTCAGTGACATTTATTTTGCTGTTTTAGCTGTGTTATTAAAAACACAACAGTCAGTGATCCTGAAGTAAACAGAGCACTTAACCTTTTCTTATAAGGTGTCATTACCTGAAGATCCAGTAAACAGCAATTCTTATATTTGTACAAAGATCACTGGCACTACTGAAAGTTTCCTTTTAGTTCCTGTAGATGCACAAAGATGAACCGAATAACTTAATTTTTCTGATTGCGGAAAAAAACATTTGCCATTCTAGCAGCTGAAACCACTTTGCCTGTACCCATTTACTTCAGTGTGCAAAACTGGTCATTGGCCACAGCTGACAAATTAATGTTTAATATTCAGTGGTGTCATGATGAAGCATTCCTTCAAAAAAGGAAGTATGACAAAAAGCTGTTTCCTGTTTTCTGCAGGCTGTGTGGTAAACTTGTTACATTTTTCATAATGTTAAGTTTATCTACTAAGAAAGCACTTCTTTTTACATTCTGACGTATTTAGCTAGAAGTAAAAATACACAAAAAAGCACACACAAAACCCCAGGAAAAAGTATGTAAAGTCCATATACTTTCTTTTTATAAATACTTGTCCTTTATTATTCACATAGGTCCAGCATGTGCATGTGACATTTGACATTTAAGTTTTGATTCCCCTCCCCCCCCCCCCAAAAAAAAAAAAAAAAGGTACTACCTCCCTGGTCTCCCCTTACAATGATGTTCTTTTACTGTGACACTAGTTGAATGCATTTGGTGTGCCAGTTGCATGAAAACCGCATAATGGTGCTGTCATTTCACAAGAAAACTGGCTTCATTAAAGGCACAATACAGTGAATTCCTTGACTAAATGGGCAATGCCAGGAGCAGCCAAAACCAGGAGAAGCTGAGAGCTAGAAAACAGAACTGCAGCCAGGGATTGCCAAAGAACATCAACTTTTTCTAAGCAAGGGAGCTATGGGAAGCCCGCATTCAGAAGATCCCTAAACCTTCAGAGATTAGGTTCTCCCATTCTCCTACTGTTCCTTCTCTCATCTTCCATCACAGTTTGGAAAGCTATGCAGCTGCTATGAACTCAGCATATGTTATAACAAACAGAACAGTTCTGCCCCACTGATGAGTCAGCACAGATGTATTTCTGAAGTGAGGTAAGTTTCACTTCACACTGGAGAAATTTTAATAGCTCTTGAAAGAAGCAGGTCAGTACATCTCAGACAAATGTAAACTCTAAGACAAAAACAGCTCTCAAACAGGTTGCCAATATAACTAATTTTTTTCCTCACTTGATATCCATCAGGCTGTTAGTTTGTTCATGGCTACTGACTATGCATTACTATACAGGAAAAACAGCGTTATAACATGCTCCAAAGCTCCAAATAAAGAATGATGGTTTCCTTTATCTCAATTAAGTGTGCAGCTGCTTAGCTGTAGAGTACTCTTGATCCACTAATCTAATATGATAGCAAGCTTCTTATTATGATAACTTATTTTATACATAAAATTTACACAGAAGTAAGTGTGAGCATTGGACATACTTGAGTGATCACTTATCTTTCAAAGTCAGTATTAAATTTAAGGAATTCTACCAAGCAGTTGACAATGAGCACCTTTTCTATTTTATTATTTTTAAAGATTAACAGATTCTATAGCAGGAGATACAGAAATAAATGACAAAAGAAAAAAGTTCATTTTTCCATAACTACTGTAATTGGCAGAAATTAATTTCAGAGTCTCTATAAAGAGGCTAAGTAGCACTCATATCTCACGTCCCTTAAAGTAAAAGTATGATTGTACAATGCAGCGTTCCCCCCTAATAGAAGTGCAACAAACTGCAAAGATTTTCAAAACTGCTATAAAATTATGTAGCTCTGGTTTCAGGTAATCACTGTGTTTATCTAGTAACTTACCCTGAACTGCTGCTCTGTATGGAAATTAGATTCATGAACGTTTGAAAGGCTAATTAGTAAGTAGCCACGGATATAGCAGTGTAAATTTCCAAGCTGACTGTGCATTATACTCTAGAATGATTGTATGACAATTGCAGTCCTTAACAAGTATAAGCTTACTACAAACTACTGAAAACATGGCTCACCAGAATGTTAACCTAGAATGCCAAAACGAAAGGCCAAAGTTGTAGGTATTTGTTCACACAGGGAACATGACAGCTAGCCAATGAAGTTTGTACTTATATGCAACAGAATTATCTTCCAGAGTCTTGACTCATAAGCAGCTTGTTGGCTGTATTTAGCAGCTGAAGAATGTTTAGTTGATTAGCTCTCCTATGACAACAAATAGAATACTATTGAAGACTATGGAAGTTACTGTTGATGATTTCAGGGAGCATGACATAACTGACATAGCACCCGCGTCTCAAAAAAGATGTATTATAAAACTTAAAATAATGTCTCAGTTTTTAAAGAAACCTGGGAGTTGTTCCCAGTTGTCATTCCCCTTATCTAAGCATTCATATAATTAAAGTATTTTTAACTTGAGCCTGTTCAACCATAAACAAGTGACTATATGACTACATTAACTGATTTAGTGACTCATCACACAAGAAATACACAGAAAAACACAAGTACTATGTTCTGAAGCCTAGTTTTTACAGAATTGTTTTTCTGTCATAAAGGCAACCACAAAGACCTTTCCTAAAAGGATAACAGGAAAAAGCAAGCGCTGTAAGATGTACTGCAAAGGCAGTGTTTTCAAAGTTCCTACAGCATGCTCCACTATGTTAGCTTGTTTAGGTGTGCCTTAATACTGAGGATCACATGAACTCCGACTAATCAGTTCAGAGTTTAAGCAACATGATGTCATTGCTATTTGTAATATACTGACTCACGGCTTTTTCAGTAAGACAAAGGTGATGTTGGGTAACTTTGATACATCAGAATTCTTAACCTGCCTTAGCCTGTTGGAACAAGCTCACAGTCAGTGCTCGTTTAACCAGGTACTAGATACAAATAAATATACTTGCATATTGCTAGAAAAACAAGCAGGAAACATGATGCTTTATACAATCCAGAGAAACAAGGAATTTGCAATACCTGTCTATGCAGAAGTTAAAGACTGCTATTCCTAACGTATAAACAATGGGAATCCCCTTTCAGGGTATGCACTGTCACACCCACTCAAGCCTGCCTGAATGTCAGTCAATGCCCAACAAGAAAACATCATCATTAAATTACACTGTTAAGAGAGACTGGAAAACTATCAATACTTTTGCCATCATTCCTCTGAAAGAAAGACCGTTTTATTGTAGGTTCAGATAATGGCACCTTCCTTCGATTAGAAGGATGTAGCAGTTAGATTGTTTCAGGACAGAATCTGAGTTCACTACATGAACTCTTTTACTATTTTTCCTACACTTACAAACTAACACTGCAGTTCATCTCAGTATACTGCTACTAGTAGCAACTACTACTCAATAAGTTAAAAGTACAGATTCTTACCTGTAGATACTGTCTTGTGACGTGCATTCATTTACTAGAAATGAAGAAAAACAATTAGTTTTGTTAAAGTGCTGATTTGTTTTCAAGAAGTAATTTCAGGAATTAATTTAATTGGCTAACCATGACTAATAAACTTATACTAAGATTAGACTGTTAAAACACAAAGGATTAAAATGAAGATTTGAATCATACTAACAAAATTGCTTTATCAATTACTTACAAGCTTTTAAGAAAATTAAGCTTTTTACATCTACATTAGGTTTGTTAAATAGGAATATACAGCTAATCAGAACAGCAACGCCACTTAGAAGGTGTAAACTCACAGAATGGCCTACAAATATCAGTTTCAAGTATCACTAAGACTCAAAAAGGACCAGAAATAAACAAAAACATTTATCAATGTATCAACTGGTTTCTCTAAAAGCAATGAAATCCAGAAAAGCTTTTTTGCTGTCATGAAATGAAAAACATCACATCCTGACACTTTCTATGGAAACACATCCAGTACACATTGCTTTCTGTACTTAAATAATACAAGCTGATAGCTCTATTAAAGTACATTGTACGTCACTGCCTCAGTCACTTTGTTACGTTTCCCACCACAAACCAAGAGATGGATTGAACAGAATACAAATGCAACTTCAAAATGTAATAAAATAATGTCGAGGTTAACACACGTAATAAAATAGCTTGAAGTTAACAAGTTACCATGAGAAGATTAGTACAGCCACTATGCTTGTAAAACACTCAGAAAAAATCCTTGGAGAATAAAAAAGCAGAAGTAAGGGAGATGAAGTACTACTTTCATTGTTTGCAACAACACAACCTTACTACCACTATGTAACTACATTCCATTAAGTCCCTAGTGTTTTCAGTGGGGATTTTAAGTACTTCCATGTTAGCATTTTTGTTTTTTTTTTTTTTAATCCTAAAACTAGAATCAACCCAATCTCAAGCTGCAATTCTGTTCTTTTTTTTTTTTTTTTTTTTTTCCTCCTCTTCTCTGGCTCTCTTTTATAGTCTCACACAGCTGTTCCACTGTTCCTCACAATTTAGCAATTTTGTCAGCAGGCAGAGCCTAGATTACGCAACTGAGCCAGATTAGAAAGGGTCTTGAATTCCTGGAAGGAACAGCTGAATAATATTGGGAATTTACATGCACTTTTACCTGCACTGATACAAAAGAAAAGCTAGGTATTTCTGAGACCTTATGATAGGCAAAATCAAGGATTGTTGAGTGAGGTTAAAGTCATTTTTAAATAAGCTAAATTTTAACACAGATCACTTTGCAATCCGTTTAACAGGGACAGGAAAGTGAAAACTGACTGCTGTGATGATGGAGATCAGGAGAGGAAACAATACATTGAAAAAAAGTCTACAGTTGTATATGAGTAGTTGAAAGATTGTGGTATATCTTGCGATGTACAGTGTTTGTGCTAATGATATATGGATTTTGGATGAAAAGCTTAAATACATACTAGTGGGTGACTTAGAAGCATGTTTCCTGTTTGTGGTTAAGTTAAATACAGTTTGTGTTCACTTGTGGTTATATGCAGAACAATTCCTTTTTTTTTTTTTCCCTTTCTCCATTCCAACTTCTGTCACCCTCTACAGTTACGACATAGGTTTCAAGCTTGTTAACTTATTTCTTCAAGACTACAACACTGTAGAATAGAACATTTTTTCAAGGACTAAAACTTAAATAGCTTGTTTGGTGATCAGTTGACTGCAGCTATTTTAGAATGGCTATTTTAAGCAGAAGCCTGTGTCATCACTGGTAAATGGAAATCCTGTCTTTGAATTTATAACTCATAAACTCAGAACCCTTTATTTTTTCAGATATTTTTGCAGTATGTGGCTTCTGTAAACTTGTACAGCTGTATTTTTTCATATGTCTAAAGGGAGAGTGTTAAGAATGTTAAGTTCTTACATTGCTGGATCCAACAGTCATATTCAAAAAGCTTTGTTTAAATTCATATATAAAATAGCATGTTGGAGGCTCAAAATATCTCATGTTTATCAGTCAATGATCATTTTGCTGTAAGACAATCTTTTTTTTTTTGTTTGTTTGTTTTATATAGATGTCATTTTCTGTCATGTAGCTGTTGTTAAGTGGCTGAGATTACATGAGAAACCACAAAGAAATGTTACCACCCACATAGCAGTGACCTTCTTTAGCTACATATTTTTAATATTGCAAAACGATTTTTAATAAATGTATAACTAATTTTTCTTCAGAGATGAAGTGAAGTTAATAACAATTTGTACAACTACTAGTTTCCACCCTCAGGCCATACTATGTTGCTCTCGGAGATGGGCCAAAACACTGTATTGCAAACCAACTGCCAAAATGATCTGAGGTTCGTCTGGTTGCCTTAAGCACAGTTGTGGTTTTCTGTTTGCTGTTATTACATATTGTTGTTTTGTTTGTTCTATATATTTTCTTGCAGAGGGGCTTTCCCATTTATATTTTCCTAACTGGGATCATTGCATTTTATCACCTCACTCCTTTTGCTTAAAATTGCTTGCAGAGTTTACATGCTTGTAAGTTGTTAATTTATATACTGAATATTTGTTTCTTGGTCCTTGAAACAAGAAAAAATAATAGGAATACTGAAATTCTGAAGTATAACTAAAAATATTGACAAAAAGAATATGGTTGGCTTTAACTTGTGCTGAGGAGACTGAAGTCATCCCAGCAGTGCTTGATTTATAAAAATCTATTCAAAAGAAAATCCTGTAGCAGTGTAAGTACAACTCAATGACCTGAGCTGAGCACGCTATGGGGAGATTTGCTAAATATTTGTAAGTTGGAGATGAAAGAGAAAAAAAATAGTTATGCTAACTAACCAGACATTTATTCCAGGAGAGCAGCAAATGGCAGTAGGAAGAGGAAGTATGACTACTTGTGGAGTAGCAGCCTGATGGCTGCACATCTTTTCTCCACTTAGTCACGGTACAGCTACTACTGCCTAACAGCCCTTGAAGTAGTAAATATTTTGGGGTTTATTTTCAATTTAATATGCATAGTCCCTAAACCTGAATTCAGTGCATTTTCTCTTCTTTTGTTTAAAAAGATCACGTATGTAATCTGTTTTACTCCACCTAAAATTAAATTAACTCCAAGCTTAAATGTACAATTGGTTGATCTTTTGAGCTCTGCCATGTATACTTGTTTTCGCTAATCCTGTGAAGTATTTTTTGTAATGTTTTGCCTGCTGCTTTTTTATCTTAGAGCTTAGTCCGATGTAAGTTTCACTGGAGAAGACTTGACTAAAGCAGTTAGCTTTGTGGAAAACTCAGACTATTTGTGTAAAACAATGTTCTTGAATATTTTAGTTATGCTGAACAAATAGTGCTGCGAAGTTTTAATTCAAACTCCTAAATTTGTGTGCAGAAACATCAGGCAATTAGAAATTGTTTGCTCTGACTCTACAAAGACTACCTTTCTCCTCTACTTATGGTTGCTGCTTAATACAGACAATTAAGATAGCACAAAAACAAAGCCAAATGGGCATTAGAGCTCACTGAGGAAAACAGATACGATTTTTTTTTTTAACCCAAACTGGCAAAATTGTTGTTAAACTGTTGCTGTAGAATGATGTTACACTGATGATGCTTGAAATAACTTACTGTTTGTCATGAGAAACAAGTGCTTAAATTCATGATTACTTGATTAGTTTGGAAATTCCGTGTAGTTAAGGTAGCATAAGCTGTGTCCAAATACGTGCTATGAAAATAAGAAAAATAAGATCAGAAGAGAATGTGTACTAAGAAGTCACATGCCCAAGGGAAGTTTGGATTTGAGTACCTTCACTGAGCTGGCTAAGTCTAAGGCCTTTAAACTTCCGCAAAGATTTTACTCAGATTTTAAGAGTCCTACAAGTTTTAGACCAGGGATTTTATTTGAAAGATGGCATTGTCAGATTTTGTCTACAGGCTTCCACTGTTGTATTTTTTTATTATTATTTCATCTGGTACTGAAGCTATTCTTGGGGAGTCTAAAGAAATGCAGGACTGCTACATGAATCTCATGAATCAGGCATGCTTTAATTACATGAATTGGCACTCTTTTGTTAGAGGTCAGTGAAGTAACAGGTTTTTATCTAGATATGGACTCCAAAGGTTTGTGGATTGTCCTTGTCCCATCACACCACCACATTTTGTTTGTTTTCCTGGTATACTTTAACAAACATACATTGTTATGCCAACGTAATTTTTTTTGTTGTTTTAATAATACTTCTGATAATACAGGGAAAACCATGCGGCCCAGCCAAAGGGAATCTCTACTGTAAGGAAAGACTTCAAGTAGTTTCTTTTGATGTTATCAAACATGAACATGTGTACAAGCCTCAAAAGGGGGAGGCTGGGGTTCTCAAAGTTTAAGAGAAAAGAAAGTCTCTCATTTCTGATAACTGAATTTGTCACAGCAGCACAGTTAACTGCTGTGCACAGTGTGTTTCTAAAATAAGACACAGGGAAACATGCTGAAGCCACAATCACCTCGTGAAAAACCCTGCGTGGGAAGTGTCAGCGCTTGTGCATGGGGCCCAGCGCTGCTGCGTGAAGCAGAGGCCGCCGAGGCCGGGGTTTACGGGCGAATCTCTCCTGCCCCAGTCATCGCCAGCCGCCCCACGTTCTCAGGAGTCCCTGCTACCACAGCGGGCTCCGGCCACCCCAGCTCTCCCCGGACGTGCCAGGCAGTGGACTCGGCCTCTCCTTCTCCCAACAACCCGTCTGAGGCAGGGCTGAGCTAGGAGCGCTCCGCACAACCCCAGCACGGCACCAATCAGCTTGGTTTCACCTTCCCAGCGCCGTCCCGCACCCCCTCGCTCCGCCATTTCCTGGCCGGGCGCCGCCACCCCACCCCAGCGCCCTCCCGCCCGCGCTGCCAGAGCATGCGCTGCGCCCCGACTCATGCGCAACAAGGGCGGCCCGCTGCGCGCGCGCCTGCGCCGAGGGAGGCGTTCGGCGGCCGGAGGCGGCGGCGGGGCAGCGGCTCCAGGAACTGCTCCGGCTGCGCCGGGGAGGGGACGAGGAAACGCCCGACCGCGCGAGCGGCGGCCCCATGGGGCCTTGAGGACGCGGCCCCGGCTACGGAAGAAGGGTGGTTAGCGCCGAGTCGGCGGGAGGATGGAGGGCCAAGGGGCCCCGGGCGCTGGCGGCGGTGGCGAGGAGCCCTTGGGCTCCGGCAGGATGAACCCGAAGCGGGGCGGGCGCGCCGCGGAGGAGGAGAGCCGGAACAAGCCCAAGCTGGTGAGGGGCGGCGGGGGGAACGAGGAAGGCGGGCGGGGGAGGCGGCCGGCCGCCGCCCTGCGGCTTCCCGGTGGGAGGACGTGGGGCCCGGCGGGCGGCCGGGGCCGTGGGAACGGCAGGCTTAGAGATAACAATAACAACAATAATAACAATAAAACAGCCCGCGAGGTCTGGGGCGCTGCCGTAGGGACTGGTGACAGCTGGAAGGGGGCGCGCTGCGGGCCTGGTGGGGCCGGGGCCGGGCGCAGCTGGGGCCGCCCGGGCGGGGAGAGGCTGGGGGAGCACCCAGCGCGTCGGCGGTGCTGATGGCAGCCGCGTGCTTCCCGAGGGAACTACGGAATTAATGCGGTTTTGTAGCGCTTTTTGGGGGCGGTGGTGCGCGGGCAAGAAAATTTTTGGAAATTCTCCATTTCCTTTTTTTTTTTTTTTTTGTAATCGGTAGAGGCCAGCTTTTGAGTGCACAAATCCTCTTTAGGGCTATGGATTCTACCTGATAACCCGAAACACAGGTGCATTTCACAGCCAACAGCCCTGCAGTATATCGCAAGTTATAAATGTGGGAGCAGCAGAAATGGTTACTGCATTAGTGTTTACTTTGTATCGTTAATTTCTGTACTCCCGTTTATTTGGGTTTATATCGAAGTAACATATTTCACTTTAGCCTTCTGATTGGATTTCCAGAAAAGCGGTGTAGTGGATGCTTAATGCTTACTGGACTCTTCATAGTGAATAAAGTCCTAGTTACAGACTTCATTGTATAATCTTGCATGGCTTTTCACAGGTAATAGTAAAACTTAGTTAATACCTGTGTGCTCCCACCTTGCAGTTTTCTTCTCAAGTATAGTATGGAAGAACCTTGGACTGATTAGCCTGGAAACTCCTCTTCTTTTTTCTTGTTGAAAACTCGATGGGAATGTGTGGAGGGAAGATACTAAATGCATAATGTGTAATGCATTAAAATATACTGAAAGTGGTGATTATTTAAAAGGATGTCAGAAAAAAAACATTAAATAACTTGAACTGTGTATTAAAGGTGACTGTCTTAAGGGAACATAACCAAATATGCTGTTTTATTTTGTTTAATGGTGTTACTAGGAACAAGCTCTTACTTCCTTATACAGTACGAATAAAAACAAACTTTGTACCTAAACTAGCTAGAAAAGCTGCTTGTATATATACGCTTTAGGGGAAATGATTAAAAAAAAAAAAATAGTTTGTCTGTGGCTCCAGAAGAGGTGGAGCTGGGAAAGACAAAGTTTTTTTTTTTGGGGGGGGAGTGGGGGGAAGGGATTCTAGGAGGAGATGCAGGTTCTCTGCTTCATATCCATGTCCGTCTGAAGGTAAAAGGGAGGCAGCAGTGCTTGATGTGGTTCAGTATAATGATGTAGCTTTCTTCATTTTTGTCTTTTAAAGGGTGCAAAGCCTCATTTACTCCCAGTCAATCAAGAAAAATGCCAGTAAGACTAGACTTCGGAGATGTAATTGGCGCTAGTAATGAAAAAGATGGTTTGAATTACAAATCAGGGCAAATAAAATTTTTGATACGCTGGAGGAAAGGACTGCCATTTGCAGGGACCATGTCAGGTGTGACAGGTGGGCTTGTGCAAACTCTGCATTTGGCCATGCTGAATTTCACAATGTCCTGGACCTGGGTTGGGGCAATCCCAAGCACTAATCCAGGCTGGGCAAAGAGTGGGTTGAGAGACCTGATGAGAAGGACCTGGGGGTGTTGGTTGATGAGAAGCTTGACATGAGCCAACAATCTACGCTTGCAGCCCAGAAAGCCAACCATCCCCTGGGCTGCATCCAAAGCAGCATGTCTGGCAGGGCAGGGGAGAGGATTGTCCCCCTCCGCTCTGCTCTCATGAGACCCCACCTGGAGCACTGCATTCAGCGCTGGGGCTCCTAGCTAAAGATGGACATGGAAGTATTAGAAGGAGTCCAGAGGAGGGCCACAAAGATGATCAAGGGGCTGGAGCACCTCTCTTATGAAGATGGGCTGAGAGCTGGGGTTGTTCATCCTGGAGAAAAGAAGGCTTTGTGGAGACCTTATAGCATCCTTCCAGTATCTGAAGGGGTCTACAGGGAAGCTGGGAAGGGGCTCTTTGTCAGGGGTATAGTGTTAGGACAAAGGGCAATGGCTTGAAAATAAAAGAGGGGAGAGTTAGATGAAATACAAGGAAGAAATACTTCACAATGAGGGTGGTGAGGCCCTGTCCCAGGCTGCCCAGCTAAGCTCCATCTGTGGCAGTGCCCAAGGCCAGGCTGGATTGGCTTTGGGCACAGAGTCACAGAATTTTAGGGATTGGAAGGGATCTTGAAAGGTCATCTAGTCCAATCCCCTGCCACAGCAGGAATCCCTAAATCACGTCACACAGGAACGCAAACCAGCGGGTTTTGAATGTCTCCAGAGAAGGAGACTCCACAACTCCCCTGAGCAGTTTGTTCAAGTCCTTTGTCACATTCGCCATGAAAAAGCTTAATTTCATATTTAAGGAGAATGTCCTATGTTCCAGCTTGCACCCATTGCCCCTTGTACTATCATTGGGTATCACCAAGAAGAGTCTGGCCCCATCCTCCTGACGGTCACCTTTTACATATTTATAAACGTTAATAAGGTCACCCCTCAGTCTCCTCTTCTCTAAGCTAAAGAGACACAGTTCCCTCAGCCTTTCCTTGTAAGGGAGATGCTCCACTCCCTTAATCATCCTCGTGCCTTTGTGCTGGACTCTTTCAAGCAGTTCTCTGTCCTTCTTGAACTGAGGGGCCCGGAACTGGATGCAATATTCTAGATGTGGTCTCACTAGGGTGGAGTAGAGGGGAAGTAAAACCTCTCTCAATCTACTAACCACACCCCTTCTAATTCACCCCACAATGATGTTGGCCTTCTGGGCCACAAGGTCACAGTGCTGGCTCATGGTCAACCCCCTGTCCGCCAGGACCACCAGGTCCCCCTCCCATTCACTGCTCTCCAGCAGGACAGTCCTCAACTTATACTGGTGTCTGGGGTTGTTCTTACCCAGATGCAGGACTCTACACTTACCCTTGGTATATTTCATAAAGTTTGTCACCACCTAATTCTCCAACCTGTCGAGGTTCTGCTGGATGGCAGCACAGCCTTCTGGCGTGTCAGCCACTACAAACTTGCTGATGGTGCACTCCATTCCCTCACCCAAGTCATCGATGAATATACTGAACAATACTGGTCCCAGTACCAACCCTTGAGGGACTGCACTAGGTACAGAACTCCAGCTTGACTCTGTCCCATTAACCATTAACCTTCTGGCTTCAGCCAGTAACCCTTCAGCCAGTTCACAGTCCATCTCGCTACCTGATTGTCCAGACCACACTTCCTCAGTTTAGCTGTGAGGATGCTGTGGGAGACGGTGTCAAAGGCTTTACTAAAATCAAGATTCACCATGTCCACTGCCTTTCCATCATCTATCCACCTGGTCTGGTGGGAGGTGTCCCTGCCCATGGCAGAGGGTTGGAACCAGGTGACCTTTAAGGTTCCTTCTAACACAGACAATTCTATGAAATAGTTCTGTGTTAGATAATTAAATCGATGCATATTCACACACAAATAGTTGAAGATGGGCTATATTAGTACTCATTTTTCTTTTTTATGCTTTGGGTCATTTTGGAAATCGTTTAAGTTTAATATAACTTGTTGAATTTAACAGAACTGCACAATTAGAATTTAGCTCCCAGTTTTGTACTAGTAGTGTGTAAATGAGTATTTTCTTAAAATTTGATAGCCTAGTTTGAGCACCTTGACACGTTGCAGCTGGTGGAAGAGTTCTGATTTCATTTTTTTCCCACATCATTTTGTGCTGTCACAAGGACTGGAGGTGGGAATGAGTGCCCAGTTTTGTTTTTTTTTTTTTTTGTCATTATTTTTGTTTGCAGTGAAATAGGCAAGAAAAAATTAAATTGCTTTGGCAAACAATCATGTGATCTCATGCCAGCCCTGAGGATAGGCTGGCATGCGACAACAGTGAACAGCCACATTCTTAGCTTGGTTTTGGCAACATGCTTGTTTTGCTTGTTTAAAAGTATGCCTGCTGTACTAGGAGAAACAGACTAAGGTTGTCAGGGAAATTGCTGGCATTTGTATTTGTTAGTCCTTAACTTGGACATTGTTTGTTGTTCTTAACACTGGAAGTATCTATTGGCTACATAGGAAACAGTTAAGTGCTTCAAAGTGTTGCATCTGATTGGACATAGCTTTCCTAACTTTGCTGAACCCAAAGGCTCTTCCAGTTGTTAATCATCTTCAGTCTTCTTGGAGTTTAAAGCCAGGCTTTTTACAGAAGTTCATGCTATGAAAATAGGAAACAGTGGTTATAAACTGGAACGAGAGATTCTGACTAGGTTTGAAGGGAAAAGATCATTTGAAGGGTGATCAAGCTCTGGTTGATCAGAGATACTTGGAATATTGATCCTTGGGTGTTTTCATGGCCTGCAAACCTGGACAAAGCCTTGAGCAGCTTGGTTTGAATCTTATCTTGACCCTGCTTCTTGAGGGTCAACATACAATTAGGACTAGAGACCTGAGATCCTTTCAAATGTGATGGTACAAATCACTGCTTGAAAAGGGATGTTATAACAGGGTATGTGGTGTTTCCTGGCTATTTGAATGCTGTCTAGCTAGAACTTACTATGGTTAGTATTTTTTGTCTGAGTTGTGTTTTATAATGTATCTTCTTGGTTTTGTATTGGCATAAATAGAAGTATATCTGTGCATATAGTGGCTAAGTATCATGCTAAAAGCATGCTTCTTTACTCCCAAGTTAATTTCTTATTTGTGTGTTAGTTGTTCAGTGATAGATGCTTCACTTAGCTACAAACTTTATTTCTGAGAAGGGCTGTGGTGTGAGTATCTTGCTGTCTTTAAAAGTAGATTGATAGAGACAGCTTGTATAACATGGGGTAAAAAAATCAAAACCTTAGGGGTAAGAGAAAGGTTATTTAATTGGAATGCAAGTAGATCTGATGAC